CGCTAGCTCTCACTTGTTAGCTCTCACTTGCTAGCTCTCACTTGCTGGCTCTCACTTGTTAGCTCTCACTTGCTAGCTCTCACTTGCTAGCTCTCACTTGTTAGCTCTCACTTGTTAGCTCTCACTTGTTAGCTCTCACTTGTTACCTCTCACTTGCTAGCTCTCTCATGCTTGCTCTTGCTTACTAGCTGTCACTTGCTAGCTCTCATTTGCTAGCTCTCACTTGTTAGCTCTCTCTTACGAGCTTTTACTTGTTAGCTGTCACTTGCTAGCTCTCACTCGTTAGCTCTCACTTGCTAGCTCTCTCGTGCTAGCTCTCGCTTACTAGCTTTCATATATTGGCTCTCACTTGCTAGTTATCACTTGTTAGCTCTCATTTGCTAGCTCTCACTTGTTAGCTCTCACTTGCTAGCTCTCTCATGCTAGCTCTCGCTTACTAGCTCTCACTTGTTGGCTCTCACTTGCAGGCTCTCACTTGTTAGCTCTCATTTGCTATTTCTCACTTGTTAGCTCTCACTTGCTAGCTCTCGCTTTCTAGCTCTCACCTGCTAGCCATCACTTGCTGGCTCTCACTTGCTATCTCTCACTTGTAAGCTCCCACTTTTAGCTCTCACTTGCTTGCTCTCACTTGCTAGCTCTCACTTGCTAGCTCTCACTTGCTAGCTCTCGTTTACTCGCTCTCACTTGCTAGCTCTCACTTGTTAGCTCTCACTTGCTAGCTCACTCATGCTAGCTCTCGCTCACTAGCTCTCACTCGTTAGCTCTCTCTTTCTAGCTCTCACGTGTTAGCTCTCACTTGCTAGCTCTCACTTTCTAGCTCTCAATTGCAAGCTCTCACTACCACTCACTTGCTAACTCACTTGTTGACTCTCACTTGTTAGCTCTCACTTGTTCGCTCTCACTTGCTAGCTCTAATTTGCTAGCTTTCATTTGCTAGCTCTCACTTGTTATCTCTCACTTGCTTGCTCTCACTTGCTAGCTGTCACTAGATAGCTCTCACTACTAGCTCTCATACGCTAGCTCTCACTTGCTGGATCTCACTTGTTATCTCTCACTTGTTAGCTCTCATTTGCTAGCTCTCACTTGCTAGCTCTCACTTGCTAGCTCTCACTTGCTGGCTCTCACTTGTTATCTCTCACTTGCTAGCTCTCACTTGCTAGCTCTCACTTGCTAGCTCTCACTTGTTAGCTCTTACTTGCTAACTCTCACTTGTTAGCTCTCACTTGTTACCTCTCACTTGCTAGCTCTCACTTGTTATCTCTCACTTGCTAGCTCTCACTTGCTAGCTCTCACTTGCTGGCTCTCACTTGTTATCTCTCACTTGTTAGCTCCCACTTCTAGTTCTCACTTGCAAGGTCTCACTTGCTAGCTCTCACTTGCTAGCTCTCACTTGCTAGCTCTCACTTGTTGGCTCTCACTTGCTAGCTCTCACTTGCTAGTTTTCACGTGTTACCTCTCACTTGCTAACTCTCTCATGCTTGTTCTCTTTTGCTAGCTCTCACTTGTTAGCTCTCACTTGCTAGCTCTCACTTGCTGTATCTCACTTGCTAGCTCTCGTTTACTAGCTCCCACTTGATAGCTCTCTCTTACTAACTCTCATTTGCTAGCTCTCACTTGCTTGCTCTCTCTTGCTAGCTCTCTCTTGCTAGCTCTCACTTTCTAGCTTTCGCTTTATAGCTCTCACTTGCTAGCTCTCAATTGCTTGCTCTCAATTACAAGCTCTCACTACCTCTCACTTGCTAACTCACTTTTTGACTCTCACTTGTTAGCACTCACTTGTTCGCTCTCTCTTCCTAGCTCTCACTTGCTAGCTCTCACTTGCTAGCTCTCACTTGCTGGCTCTCACTTGTTATCTCCCACTTGTTAGCTCCCACTTTTAGCTTTCACTTGCTTGCTCTCACTTGCTAGCGGTCACTTCTTAGCTCTCCTACTAGCTCTCATACGCTTGCTCTTACTTGTTAGCTCTCACTTGCTAGCTCTCACTTGCTAGCTCTCACTTGCTAGCTCTCACTTGTTGGCTCTCACTTGCTAGCTCTCACTTGTTAGCTATCATTAGCTAGCTCTCACTTGCTAGCTCTCACTTGCTAGCTCTCACTTGTTAGCTGTCACTTGCTAGCTCTCACTTGTTAGCTCTCACTTGCTAACTCTATCACGCTAGTTCTCGCTTACTAGCTCTCACTTGTTAGCTCTCACTTGCTAGCTCTCACTTGCTAGCTCTCTCTTGCTAGCTCTCACTTGCTAGCTCTCATTTGTTAGCTCTCACTTGTTAGCTCTCACCTGTTAGCTCTCACTTGTTAGCTCTCACTTTCTAGCTCTCGCTTGCTAGTTCTCATTTGTTTTCTCTCTCATGCTAGCTCTCACTTGCTAGCTCTCACTTGTTAGCTCTCACTTGTTAGCTCTCACTTGTTAGCTCTCACTTTCTAGCTCTCACTTGTTAGCTCTCACTTGTTACCTCTCACTTGCTAGCTCTCTCATGCTTGTTCTTGCTTACTAGCTCTCACTTGCTAGCTCTCACTTGCTAGCTCTCACTTGTTAGCTCTCGCTTACTAGCTTTTACTTGTTAGGTCTCACTTGCTAGCTCTCACTCGTTAGCTCTCACTTGCTAGCTCTCTCATGCTAGCTCTCGCTTACTAGCTCTCACTTGTTGGCTCTCATTTGCGAGCTCTCACTTGTTGTCTCTCATTTGCTTTTTCTCACTTGCTAGCTCTCGTTTACTCGCTCTCACTTGCTAGCTCTCACTTGCTAGCTCTCTCATGCTAGCTCTCGCTCACTAGCTCTCACTTGTTAGATCTCTCTTGCTAGCTCTCACTTGTTAGCTCTCACTTGCTAGATCTCACTTGCTAGCTCTCAATTGCAAGCCCTCACTACCACTCACTTGCTAACTCACTTGTTGACTCTCACTTGTTAGCTCTCACTTGTTCGCTCTCACTTGCTAGCTCTAACTTGCTAGCTTTCATTTGCTAGCTCTCACTTGCTAGCTCTCGCTTTCTAGCTCTCACTTGCTAGCTTTCACTTGCTGGCTCTCACTTGTTTGCTCTCACTTGCTTGCTCTCACTTGCTAGCTGTCACTAGTTAGCTCTCACTACTTGCTCTCATACGCTAGCTCTCACTTCTTAGCTCTCACTTGCTAGCTCTCACTTGTTAGCTCTCATTTGCTAGCTCTCACTTGCTAACTCTCGCTTACTAGCTCTCACTTGTTAGCTCTCACTTGTTAGCTCTCAATTGCTAGCTCTCACTTGCTAGCTCTCTCTTGCTAGCTCTGGCTTACTAGCTCTCTCTTGTTAGCTCTCTCTTGCTAGCTCTCTCTTGATAGCTCTCACTTGTTAGCTATCGCTTACTTGCTCTTACTTGTTAGCTGTCACTTGCTAGCTGTCACTTGCTAGCTCTCACTTGTTAGCTCTCACTTGTTAGCTCTCACTTGCTAGTTCTCACTTGTTAGCTCTCACTTGCTAGCTCTCACTTCTTAGCTCTCTCTTGCTAGCTCTCGCTTACTAGCTCTCGCTTGCCAGCTCTCTCTTGCTAGTTCTCACTTGTTAGCTCTCACTTGTTAGCTCTCACTTGTTAGCTCTCACTTGCTAGCTCTCACTTGTTAACTCTCACTTGTTACCTCTCACTTGCTAGCTCTGTTTACTAGCTCTCACTTGCTAGCTCTCACTTGCTAGCTCTCACTTGTTAGCTCTCGCTTACTAGCTTTTACTTGTTAGCTCTCACTTGCTAGCTCTCACTTGTTAGCTCTCACTTGCTAGCTCTCACTCGTTAGCTCTCACTTGCTAGCTCTCTCATGCTAGCCCTCGCTTACTAGCTCTCACTTGTTGGCTCCCACTTGCTAGCTCTCACTTGTTAGCTCTCTTTTGCTAGCTCTCGATTACGAGCTCTCACTTGTTAGCTCTCACTTGTTAGCTCTCACTTGCTAGCTCTCACTTGCTAGCTCTCTCTTGCTAGCTCTGGCTTACTAGCTGTCGCTTGTTAGCTCTCACTTGCTAGCTCTCACTTCCTAGCTCTCACTTGTCTAAACCACGACTGTTGCATGTACATATCGTGAATTCTCTGCTTTAAATGTGTAAACAAGAATTAACGTTGACGATTCAACCAAATAAATCAAGGTTATAGGAATATTTCTTTGATATGGAAAGTCCACATATGTTAATATTTGTGTTGACAATACGTCCCCCGATTCACCATAAATAAAAGGGTGTCCTGCATTCAATATATTCAACCCAATTTCACAAAACAAACAATGCATAATTTCGACACTTTCCCTTTATCCGACTCCTAAACCACACACTGATATATACCCCATACATGACAGCACATACTCAAAGAACTAAATATTTGCACTAAAATGTAATTTAGCTAGTACAAACATGGATGGATAAAAGTTGACTAGAAAGAAAAACATCTGTTTTGGTGATGTCGTGTGAATTATAATTTTATCACCTTCGATTCGAGTATATTACTAGCATGTGACATCTCCTGTGATAACCGTGATAACCTCATTCTTTGATTTCTAAATTGTGTAGGTCAAGCCAGTGTTATGTACATTATGTATTAACCAACATTTCAGAAGATATTTAACGTTTGAAACATATTGCTGAATGCATGTACTATTTCTGATTGGCTGACACACGTGACTCCCATTTGGTTCCAAGGCTCATATTAATCATTTGCGCTGGTACATTGAAGCACTGTGCTTCAACACAGGAATCCAGGAGGATTGAGCCATTGTTTAAAAAACAAATTTTTAACAATTAGACAAATGTTTGTTCTTGTCATACAAGCAATCGCCCAATCAGCAGCAGACTTACAAAACAATCACTATCTCTGGCAACATTTGGGTTTTCAAGTCATATATCAATTGAAGCCAGAGCACAAAGTCTAATTTTCAGGCAATAACCGCATATACGCTGTCTTATAAGTGGTCACTGTATCTTCGCGTATTTTTCGAGATAAAACAAAATTAAAAATAAGTGTTTTAATTGTAATTTACTTTAGCATTGGACATGATTAACAGAGAAGCCAGTAAAGCAAGGTGTAAACCACGTGACACGGTGGTTGATGTTTACAAGGAACTGGGTCTACATAAAGGAATATCACTAATCTTTCCAGAATGTGTACTTGTACAGCGCTGTGAAAATAATGGTTGTTGCCATGACACCCAAGAATGTAAAGTTGATGTCAATCAAACAAGAAATGTATCAATGCTGGTAAGCACCGAACGGCAGAATATATGAATTAACAAGCAAAATAAATTAAAAGGGATAAACCATATTATTAACATTAGTTTAACTGTTAATTTCTATGTAAAAAAACAACAACACTTAAATATGTTTTCAAGGCATAATCGATATCGATGAAATTTAGCAATAAACTTGTTATTTCACATCTTACTCTTAGTTCATCACGCCAACACCAGCATTCCGGAATATTTCAATGGATAAGTCTTGTTCCTGTCAAAATAAGCCTGGATTCTGCCCTGAATCTTATCCGTGCCCAGACGGAGGACTTTGGGACTCGGTTACCTGTGGCTGTCAGTGTAAAAAGCGTTGTCCATTTCCATTTGTTCTGGACAGAATCAAATGTGAGTGTTCATGCCTGGTGACAGACAGAAAGTGTTTACTAATCAGGAAAGGAAAGAGATCGTTGGAACCAGACGAATGTAGGCAAGTATCACATACCATTGCATCAAGACCACTTTGGTCAACATTGCACTATTCTAGTACATCAGTCTAACACATATCCCATTATTTAAAGAGCGATGGTCGTCGCGCTGCGCATGTCCGACATTTGTGTTGATAAACATTGATTTTCCCACAATCTAATGCGCTCTCCTAATGGGAATCACAAGTACGAGGTTTGACCTGGGCGCGACTTACACTAATTACCGCCGGTGACTCTTTCGATGCCTTCTAATGACCTAAAAAATATATAATTAAAAAGTGGTAACGTCTCAGTTTGTAATCAGTGTTTTCTTCTTTGATTTGCGTGAGACGTGTGTGGGGGGGGTACTACTTATGAGGTGAACAATCATCTTTTTAGTTGGCTTGTTTAACGTTTTGATTATTAATAGTGTTCCTGGGGATTCGTTACAGTTGAGTAGCGTCGTGTGAAATCGATTGTTACAACTAATTACAGATTATTCAATATCATCACTTTGATAAATGGTCTGACTGAGTGGAACATCAGCATGACCATTCAATATTATATAACTATAGCCTTGCCTCACTTTACCATCTCTACTATAACTGTGCTTGAGGAATGACACGTAATGTTCTTTTATTTTTTAGAATACTATATGGTATTTAGTTGAATCATTTTGATCATTCGCATCAATAACGTTTTCCTGGTAACCACTGTCCTACATTATAAAATGGTAAAATTAATAGCATAATTACACAACTAGGAACACAGATTCAAAATAGTAAATACACGATTAGATGGTATACAAAATACATTGATACAAAGAACAATTTAAAGTTTTTAAATTCAATAAAAATAGTTTGTTATAGTCATAGGAAACATACAATGATATATATGATACAATGAGTTGTATGTTTCACTTATAAAATTATTACATGAATACTACAAGTATGCACACATGCAGTATGGCAATCGTATCGATTGACTTGTAGTTGAGTTTGAAGCGATCCCGTACTGCCTGATAGCATACATTGCGATATTCTCTTAATTAACTTACTATTGTACATCTTTACTCTGTTTGTAATAACCTTTTGAGAAAAGTAACAAAAATTACTTTGCGCAGGGTGAACATTTGTGTTGAGTACCGTAGCACTGCTTTCGTTTGTGTTGAGTACCGTAGCACTGCTTTCATTTATGTTGAGTACCGTAGCACTGCTTTCATTTGTGTTTAGTACCGTAGCACTGCTATAATTTGCGTTGAATAACGTAGCACTGATATCATTTGTGTTGAGTACCGTAGAACTGCTTTCATTTGCGTTGAGTAACGTAGCACTGCTTTCATTTGCATTGAATAACGTAGCACCAATATCATTTGTGTTGAGTACCGTAGCACTGCTTTCGTTTGTGTTGAGTACCGTAGAA